TGATTGAATAGATTCCAAGATGTCTGTAAATTATTTACAGTATACATTTCAAATGAAATACTTTTTTATATTTTTAAACATGTGATCTATCCAAAGAATACAAGTATCGTATGTAGAAGATTTTATAGGATCGTAATAGATCCATTCTTTAAAGTTGAATGGATTGTTTATAATTATAAAATATTTAATACTATTAAAATATTTCAATTGAGACATAAGTTTTTTGACATACAAGTTATAAAAATCATTTCTGAAATGAAAAAAAGTTATATCATTAAAAAATTACTAGAATTAATATTTGATGTTGCTTTTACTTTACACAACACAAAAGACGATAATAATCGAATCAAAGCATTAAATATTTTCAAAGAATTGAAGAATAATTATTGGTTAGGATATTATCACGATCAGGGATATGGCGGTCTCAAAATCGATAAAGAAAAAGCTATGGAATATTACAAGATATCTGTTCATCAAGAAGAAGGTTATCCTGATGCAATTAATAGATATGCATTTTATCTTTTGAATACAAGTAAAAGAGATGAAAATGATGAAAATAAAAAATTATTTGAGGTTACTGAATTAATCAGAAAATCTGCAGAATTGAAAGATGTTGTAGGATGTTATAATTACGGAGATATTTTGTATAATGGAAAATTAGGTAATGTAGTTGATAAGGAAAAAAGTCTTTATTATTTACAATATGCAAGTAAGAAAGGTCATGTGAAAGCAAAATTATTATTAAATAAAATATCTAATAATTAATTAAGTTATTATATATTATTATTAAAAAAAAATAAGATATGAATTATGATTAGATATATGTATATTCATTATGTTTTTATTTAATTACAAATTATTTGATTTAAAATTCAATATAGTTTGATAATTTTATTGATAAGACAAATTATAGTTAAATATGAAATATGAAAATTAAATTAAATCATATTATTTATAAATACGCTAAAATGTTTCCTTCCAAATTGATATAGATATGTTTTAAGTTATAATGAGAATTTGAAAGGAATATGGTTAAAAAAGTAAGATTGGATAAATATATAAAATTAAAATAAAATATTAAGATGTTAAGATTTTCCACAATCTTTGATATTCGTTAAATTCTGTT